AGGAGTTGGAGGTTGCTGTGAGCTGTAATGCCACAACACTCTACCCAGGGGGACAGCTTGAGGCTCTGTCTCAAAAAAAAAAAAAAAACTTGGGGATTCTTGTCACATTTATGTGCAATCCACAAGACATAAATAGCACCGAATACCCCAAATGGGAAAAGGAATAGTCTATAATAATTTGTTTGGTTTTGCACTTTCACTCAGCTGACCTAGCATACTTCCAAACTAAAAAGAAATGAGTAATACTTAGCAATATTTGTTTGCTCATAGTGCTCAGCTGGGATGTTTACAGATCAATGTTCGTTCTAAGTAATCCTGAGCATAGATGGCAGTACAGTCTTAAATTTTCAAGAGAACAGAGGCATAGGGATTTGCAAAGTGATGTTAGAGGAAAACAGTTGGTTGATTTTGCCAACACTTTCTATTTAAAGTGTGGTCATGTTTTAAGAGTTTATAAACATGTTAAAAACACATCTGGGCCACCTGTCTCTTCTGGCCACAGATAAACTATTTGAAGTGGGTTATACTGCTTTATGATAGAGGACATGCTTTCCTCACCTTCTGCCCTCACTATGCAGTGCTTGCTCCAATTTTAGCTTCAACCTACATTTCTGCCCATCCTGAGGACACGTTAGGAATTCCTTGACTGCCAGTCTGAGTGATGTGGTGTGGGGCACTTTAGGCTGCAGTCTGACCACATTTGGCATCTGTGTTAATGCAGCCTGAGTCCTGAACCAGGGGTATGGACACTGACTTTCATCTCTACCTGAGGAGATTCCTTTTCTTAAATTGGCAGCCATAACCTTATCAGCATGAAATCAGGGCTTGCAGGAGTTAAATATGCTTGCAACTAACATCTGACACAACTTTAACAGAACAACCAAACCTGGTTAATCCAAATCACTTTGCAAACTCCATTTTTATTTGGATTAAAAAGCTTTAGATGAACAAACATAACTGATACATACATGTTATAAGACTAGTTACCACTTAAACCTCAGATGATGATATGATACAGAAATTAGAATAAACCAAGTTTTAATCAGTTCTGAAGATGTCCAAGCTGAAAAGTCATTAACACCAATTTGGGGATTTTACACAAATAAGTGTCCCCCCTTAATTCTTCCTCATAGGAAGGCAAAGGTGGGTTAAAAAAATCAACAAAAGCCTTTTTTTTAAATCAGTTGGCTGACAAACATACTACTTTAAACCTATAGGTTTTACCCCCTTATAAACAATTCTCCACAGGAACTTACATTTTGAAAACATTTAGGCCATTATACTTTCTAAACCACATTACTATAGTTCGTATAACTCATGAAGAAAAGATACATAGTTTACTTATACTTTTCTTTTGTCAGGATTTTTTTTCATTTTTTAAAGATGGCTGACCTCTGATCTTTTATTCTAAATATTAACTGATACTTTCCAAGTTAATATATAGACAGACATGATTCTAAAATAAATACATAGGCTTTTTTTTTTTTTTTAAACTTAATTAGGGCCTTTGTAGTGGCACCCTGGGCCAGCTCTGTACTGCTTTAGGGAAGCCCTTGGTTGAATCTATGATTTCTATAGCACCTCTAGACACTAGGAAGGAGCCTGGAGAAGTGCTCTGGCTTCTGATACCCCGCTTGACCCACAGTGAAGAGTTTTTAGAGGCTCCCCAAAGAAGTCTCATCCAAACCTTAAAAAAGGGAGATAAAATGAATGCATGAAATAAATAAATAATTTAACCAAAACTAAATTTCAGGTTCTTTGGTGTAATTCAAGGATGTCTAGGAACAAAATAATCTGATTTCATTATACAGTCCATGATGATTCAATGGCCCAAATAACCAGGAACTGAAGATTCATCAGATTCAGTTTAACAATAAGGTTACTGACATACTATTGCGATACACTTTTTAAAATTCAAAATTATTTAAAATACTTGATGAAAATTGAGATCCAGTGGTTGACTAAAGGCAATTAAGTTACAAGGGCCTCCTGTATTTAAAGTATCTAGCTGTAAGAGACCTTTTCCCAATCTACACTCTTGCCCTCATGATTTAATAAGTACAGTAATTAAACATCTGGGTTTTGATTCATAGCAGATTAAAAGGAAAAAAGTATCCTCTGAGAGTCACTCTCTCAACTTACAGACAGCAGTGGAAGCTCCACTACAATGGCAACCACCTCTGTTACAATAAAGCAGATTTCAAAAACATACCCTCAAGTGAAATAATGTTCCACGTTTGTTGCTTCTTACTGTGTATCATACACCATCTCCAAATGTTGATTCTAGGGTCCTATAGGAAAGAGAGGGCCACCAAACTCAAGTGTTTGGGATCTGTAATGGACTTTCTAGTGAGAATTTTCTTAAATTATAATTTCCCTTCTGTAATTCAAAAGCACAAGCTAAATTCAGAAAGTATTTTAGAAAGTATTAAATTTTTGATTGAGAATTATAACCCTCTAATAAAAAAAGAAAAAAGAAGAAAATCCAAGTTCATTGGAGAAACTAATTAAAAAAAGAGAGAATTATAATCCTGAAACTTAGAAGACAAAAATGCCACATCTGATGATAATAAGGAAATAAAGAATACTTAAACATATTTGGATATACAAGTAATCTACCCTTTCACAATTATGTTTCTGCTGCAGCCCTTATCTAGTTAACACACTCCTTTCCTCAGCTAGGTCAGGTATTATGTTTAAAAAAAATCACCTCCATGCAAACTTTAATGCTTTCTTCAAGATGAACTTCAATGTTTTTCAATGAAACATTTAAAATTTTATATCACCTAACACGTATAGACATAAATTGTGAATTCATTATGAATAAATCAAAAGTACCCTTAAACTTACCTTTAGGACTAAATATAATTCAAAGTTGTGCACATGTCTGGAAAAATCACTGACACCAAAGATGAGTAACTCAGCACAAGAAAAAACAAAGCTTTTCCCTCTCAGTGGCCAAGAAGTACACTGGCTGCAGACAGATGCACAACACTGATTATACATTTCTGTATGAGCCTCTGAGTTAACAGAGCAAATGTGCCATATCTGCCAAATATCTGAACCTAAATAACCACCTTTCAAAAGAAGCACATCACTTCACTTGTAAGAAACAGCTTTTGTGGAAAGTGGCTTAAGATACTCAGGCACGTGAAACGAACACAAGTACACTCCCCTGTCTGATGTAAACTAGGAACAACTTCACATTTCATTATCAACTAATCTGTAAACTCTGGTGTGTTTTTTTTCTCCATTTTGTTCTTTTATAAAAACAAAACCCCCCAAAACAAAAAGAACCCCAAGCCAAGATAAAACCTTTGATGGTTTCAGTTCCATGGCAATAAGTAAAAAGATAAAACTCCAAGTCTACATATACAACCTATTATGAAACTGGTTTTAAACGAAGGAAACATATGCAAAAAAATCATTGTGTATTTGATAAAGTCAACTTAATATAACAAAAACAAATTGAAATAGCTTATTAAAAGTGTCCTTATATAAAAATGGCCTTGTGATGTACAGTAAAATGCAATAAAAATTATTATCCTTTGTTCCTTCCCCCCACCCCCAGTAACTAAAATGGCTACTGTTCCACAATTCTTTATGCTTCTATAAAAGAAACAATGATGTGATTAAATGTTTTCTAGGTTGTATGCTTGGCGAATGTTGAGGGTATCTCGGAGCATCAAATCCCGAAGGCGCCAGAGGGCATCTGCCATGGTGGTGTGGGCCCCTTTACTTTTCAGCCAATGAGAGGGTAGGCGGCTTTCTTGTTCTTTTGACAAATGGACATCACGTCTTCGAGCTGAAAATTAAAGTGCAGAAACAGAAATTGGAATTTTTTTTTTTTTAGGATACATTAAAATTTGGTTTAATATTTCTTTGCGGCAAAAAAAAAATTACATTTGTAGTGAACGAACAACACACATTTTTAGGCTATTGTTTTTTGTTTTTAACTACCATCCCATGAATTCATAGGTAAGAGGCTCCAGTAGCTCAGGAAGGTATCTTGCCCTTGAATGTGATAGAACACTGACTTTTGAATTCATGGGAAATCGGTTCCAGCACCTTGTATCACTGTTACATGGGGTCTAATTGGTTATCCTGTGTGCTATGCTGTACACTCATTATGCCATGAGCTCATGGAGAGTAAATAGGTTCTTGCACCTAAAAGCATGGGTCCAATGGTACTCCTGTGTGCTATGTTATATGCTTTATGCCATGAATTCATAGGGAATGGGTTCCAGGAGCTCAGGCTCCTTTCCATTGGTTCTCACAAAGAGGGCTTTTCTGGGTGGAGCAGGCTGGCGCTTCAGTTGAACCCAGGTACCTTTCTCTTTGGCTTCCTTCTTTTTCTGATCATTTTCCTTCACACGTTTCAGGAAGCTATCTCAGCTCTTAGAGTGCTTAATATGCTCAATATGAACATTAATCCTCTTGGCAAGAATCTTGCCCTTAACTTGTTTGTTTACAACAATGTCAAAAGCATGCTGGGTAACACTGTAGACTCCTCCAGTTTTGCCATGGTAACATTTGTGTGGCATGCCTTTTTGAACAGTACCCATTCCCTCCATGTCTACAATATCACCTTTCTTGTAGATTCGCATGTATGTGGCCAAAGGAACAACTCCATGTTTTCTT